TTTTCTTTTCTTTCTTTTTCTTTTCTTTCTTTTTCTTTTCTCTTGTATCTCCTATCCCTCACTGTGTATCTAATCTCCTCTGAGAAAAGACCATTGATCTGGTTTCCTATTGAATAGTGTGTGCCACCCTAAGATCAAATACTCACTTGTGTCTATCTTACTCTCTATATCTTCACTTGCTGTACCTTGTACCAGGTACTTGAATCTTTCCAAATTTTCCTGTCCTCTCTTCTCCTCCTAACATTTCCCCTCCTTAATTCTGATTTTTAGGTCAGCTCACCTTGAGAGTCAAGCTAGGACCACATATATGCTTGTATACCTCACAACTTATCAGGTGATCCAAAGCAACCAGACATTTTCAATTTTTTGTTTCTGAAGTCTTGTTTTATTTTCAGTTTAATTTATTTTTCATTTCATCCTTAGATCATGTACCTTGCTCACATAGCTTCACTATCTCTTGCCTCATTTTATTTCACCTGACTCATACCAGGTAGACAGAATTGTTATTTCTAACATTTTACTACACCATCTGATACCTTATGTTTATCTTTTATAGGTCAGAATCTCTCTTGTAGGCAAGAGTTGACCATCAGACTTACCTATCCTGTGTACACACACCAGGCACCCTTATTCTGAGACAATTTGGAATTTTTCATATTGTATTCTGGGCTGGGAAAGAGGCTATAAAAAGTCCAGCTGAGCTTTGTTCTCAGTCTATTGAACCCTTGCTATCTGTGTTTATTTTCCTACTGTCCCTGTGCTTACCCTTTCCAGGATCTTGAGCATGTATCAGGTCCTGGAACCTGGAAGGCAGGTGAGAATCTCCAGGCTTATGGCTCAGTGCAGGGTCTGCAGACTTGAAAGAAATTCAAGCACATTCAGCAGAGACTTAGTGTCAGCCCTGAGCATAAAGGTGCTATGGATAAACAAGGAAATTGCAACTCACTCACTTTCAAGAGTAAAACAATATAAGTCTACTTGTCAACTGAGCTTTAGTATTTCATATTTAGATTCTACATGTAAATTGGACTATAGTTACATACTACACTCTCTATGAAAGTTCTATAACTAGTATTGTAACATATATCTTATTATGCTACAATAGCTACTTCATATGTATTATTATTCCACAAGTGGATTTTAAGGGTAAAGTAACCTACAATTTCTGCTTAGATTTTGGTCATAACCTTTCTCATTGTAGTACTTAATTTATGGTCAAATATTGATCCATTAGATCTTCTGTTATTCACAAGTGAACAGCTAGTGTAGTTTTAGAATAAAAATGAAACCAGTTGTCAGCCCCTGAGTACTCAGCAAGTACCATGGGACTGCAAAGGTATTGTAATTATAAGTGTAAACAACTCATAGCTCAGTTTCAAGAGCTATACATGATACAACCTGTTGTAAACCATAGCCATAAAATGTGAAGGTAATAACACATTATTACCAAGGGATTTACACATACAAAGTTAGGTTTACCTTCTACTGAGTAAATATGCTCATAGAGAAGGAAGAGTGAAGGTTCAGAATATAAAAGGAGGACCAGACCTCCGTGGACACTTTCCTCTCTCAGAAGCATCAATAAAATAAAACTCAACAGTCTGAATACCTCTCTAGGATATTCTGGGCTTTCTTCTTCTGAGATTCCTCAATCACTGGTTGATACATAATTAACCTTGGTGATTTCTTCTCTATCTAGAAGCAGTCTAGTTTCATTACTGGTCTTCACCAGTTGTTCATTTCATTGCTCCTCTGAGGTTCATCACTAGCACCTTTCCTCCTGGACCCTCTGTGCTCTATTCTTGCTGAAGGGTTCTCAAGAAGTGTAGCACAGGGGTAGAGGATAAAAGCTGAGTGTGCCAGCTTCTAGATAGCACAGGGACATAAAAGATCTGTGTGAAGCCTTGCTGATCCTGAAGTTTTCTAGAGATTTCCCTAGACAAGATCAACACTCATCTGGCTCTCAGGAGAGGTTCCTGAGGCATTTGAGTTTTAAAAGAAACCACTTCCAAACCTTTGGCCTTTGTGCCCACCTTTTTCTCAGACTAGTAGTGAGGTCACTTGCCAGACAGAAGCAAGTGGCTCACACCAGTGATACATCAATCATTCAAGTTCATCAATAAACCACACCCAACACCCTGTCCATATCAAGGTGACTTGTTGACAAGAGCAGATGAAGAACTTTTTTAGTTCTTTGATTGTTCTCATTTTTCACCCAGAGCCAGCACATGAGCCTTCCCTTTATGCAAAGTAACTTCCTTTTCTTTTTGCTCAATGCACCATGCACTGAAAGGTGTGTACTGTATACCTGTGTATCACTGCACAGTTCACAATCATACTGTCATTCATGAGCTGACATCATGATGTGTTGAGATGTATACCAATGTATGCTTACATGATGTATCACCACAGTATGAGGGAACTGTTGAGTAGACTCCATGAGCACATGTATACACATAGAAAGAACCTATGGCAGCCCCAAGTGTCTATAGCCTAGTGGTAAAAGGCAGAACTCTAGTATGTGTCTTGGCTATCATGTTGAGGTTGTGGGTTTGAATCCCACCAGAAACATAGTGACATTTTACCATCTCTACATGATGAACATGGATCAGTGATTTGTATTTCTAGGACATGAGTAACACAGGTGGGCTTGAGCCCTTAGGCCACCACCCCCCAGACACTAAGGCACTGGATTTGAGAGGGATTCTGAAGTGATTTCAAACATGACACTGTGTGCTTTCATTGACAAGTCACCATCATATGGACAGGGTGCAACATATTGGAGACTTGATGCTGGTTTTTTTGATGGAATATCATGGAGTAGGTGTTGGGTATGCAGATTCATGGGCAACATTTATCAATCCCCTTAAGCAAAGCTATGATGATCTTTGTGGAAATCTTATCAAATCTACTGTAACACAGCAGCTTGTCTCAGGATTAATATTTCACATACTATAACAGATCAATTTTGAGTGCAATTTTTGATCTTCCTTGGTTATCTTGCCAAGAGCAACTAGTACTTAGCAAGCTCATCAACTTTGTGACAAATTTGCCAGGTCACCTGATCAACAATGCAAGCTAAATATTTGTCTACGTCTATGATCTGTCTCTGTTCAATCAACTAATTTTTTTAATTCTGGTTACTGAACCAAATTACCACAAACCTGTGAAAACCCTAGAGGTCTCTAATCATCAAATCCACTGAAAATGTGCCTGACATGGGGAAAATACTTCTTTCTAAGTTTCTCCAGAAAAAATCCCTTCTTTGACCCAGCTTTGTCCCCAGATTTTGCATCACTGAGGCATTAGGCCCAGTCAGGCCACTGAGAGGTGCTCACCAGATACTGGTGAGCATGTCTGGCAGGTGAAAATTTGGGGAAAAGGGAAAAAAAGTGAGTTTCTGTGGAAATGTGTATGCTCCCTGCATCAGGTGCATTTTCTGTGGACTTTGTGAATGAGTATGACCAAAGGTTCACCTACTTTTGGAAAGCCTTTTATCATCACACTATAACTTCAACAGAAATAAA